TGTGTGTGTGTGTGTGTGTCTAGATTGACCAATGGGTTCAGTCTAATTAGTTCTCATGTAGTCAACTTTAAAAAGAAGGAATAAATGTGTGCTTATCCTGTTAAATGTCATCTTATTTAATTTAGCCCATCATTCCATCATTTGGATCCCATGTCTCCTCAGATTCATATCATCTGAAAATTTGCTAAGCCTGTTAATTTTGTATTCATCCAAGTCAACATAAAAATGTTGAACAGGATAGAGCTGAGGACAGAGTCCTGTGGCATGCTACTAAAGACTTTCCTCCAGACTGACATGGATCAAGCATTTTGGGGGTATGGTTACTCAACCAGTTCGGAATCTACTTAGTTGTAACACAACACAACCTATAATTCCTCATGTTCTTTCTAGAAATATCATTAGAGAGAAACAGAAGCATCTAATATGCAGCTAGAAAGATAACATTATCATTGAAGAGAGAGATAAGGACTGGAGAGAAAGATTTGGTAGCAATCTATATCAGAAGTTTCTTTGGCTATATCAGAATCCCCTGAGAAGCTTGCTCAACTATTCCTGGCTTTATTTCCCAGAGATTCTGATTCTGTAGAATGGAGTGGGATTAAGAGTCTGTGTTCTTAACAAGTGATTCAAACGCAGCTGGTCTTAAGGCTGGTGTTCGGGAACTACAGACATATCAATGGGATAGTCAAAGCTGGGAGAACAGATAAGTTCTCTGGGGAGAGAGTTTGGAGTCAAGAGAAGAGGACCAAGGATGCACTTGAAAGAAAGGAATAGGGAGCCAATGAGGGAGAAGGAACCCTTGGAGAAGCAGTAACAGATATGTCTCAGGCCTGGGGGCAATGAGGGCTGGATGTTGCACCAAGGCCTGGCTGGTGTCTAGGCAGAATGAGGGAAAGTGTCAGAATCAAACTATAAGAGTTTGGCAATAAAATGGAGGCAGTAGCACCAATGGAAAGGCTTTATTCAAGGAGGCAGGCTCAGGAGCTTTCCCAAAAGCAGAGAGGAAGTGACCAATGACAAGGGAAGAAGCAAAAATGCAGGAGTGGAGAAACTAGTGATTACTGATGGAAGCAAGAAGGAGTGAAATGAGCAAAGCCAAGGCCAGGGCTGGGGAGTGACAGACCCCTTCATCTCCAGGAGAGAGGCATCTCTGTGTGCATAGGTCAAAGAGGGCAGATGGGAGACTTAAAGGAAGCTCTTAGAACAAGTTCAGGAAATCAGAAAATAAAAGTGATGGGAAAGGGACCAGACTTGGGGTTTGAGGCAAGATGAATGATTTGGAACACTTTGCAGTACTTTGGGGGAATTACCTACCATGAGATAATGGAAATGTGGCTAAGCTCCTGAAGATAGAGACAGAGACAGGCTGGGTGAGTGCACCCTAGGCTTGATCTTTTTTTGAGTTTTAAAAAGATAAGAGGAAGGGGATGGCTCTGAAGTAGGTAGATAGGTACTGGGATTGAAAAGGTCTAGGGATCAGGGGAGATAGTTATGAAGGCCTCAAGTGCAGACTGGGTCTAATGATGGTTGTTGTGGAAATGGCTGGAAAGTTCAGCTGGAAAAAGGATCCTGGGTACTTAGAAGGGGCCAGGATGGCCACAGGGATATGAACCACATGCCAATAAATGGAGATGCAAAGAAGGAAATGGCCCCCATAGACTTATAGTAGTCCCAGGGAATAAGACATGATAACTTGCCTTCAGTCACTTCAAGTCAAAAAGAACTGGGAAAAGGACAGCAAAGGATGGGGAAAAACAGATTTGGAGGAATCAATTCTAGGGTGAAGGGAAGTTTTTCTACAGTGAACTAGAATACAGTTTCTGGATGGGTTCCTATGATACTGTTTTGTTTTAATCCATGGCTAATTCTGGAAAAGTTGGACTGGCAGAACCTGCGGTGAACATGTTGGGGCTGTGGCCTGGGGTTCCTGTGGGAAGCCAAAGCATCCAGCCTCATGGCAGGTTGGGGCTGTCATTGCCAGTACAAAGCCAGCTGCAGCCGCCACTTCATCTCTGAGGATGCGCAGGAACGGCAGGACAAGGAGATCTTCCAGCAGAACATGAAGCGGCGCCTGGAGTCCTTTAAGTCCACCAAGCACAACATCTGCTTCACCAAGAACAAGCCACGAACCCGCAAAGCCGGCCGCAAGAAGGCATGTCCTTTCTCTGAGAGTCCTCTTTGGATCTGGGCACACAGTTTTGAGTCCTTATGTGTTTCAATTTAGCATTAGGGAACCCCTAGTTGAATCATCCTCAGGGATTTGGTAACTAGCAGTTTGAGTTCCCTTTTAGATCCTCCTGGGCCTCCAGAAGAGTAAGGGGAAGTGTTCAGGGGGGAAGCAGGCTCTTGGTTATGTAGTCACTTGCTACTAGAGAGCGATAATAACAGGGGAGGAGCAACTCCAGAAGCCACTCAGCCCAAACAGATGCACCCAGATTCCCTACTGGGGTACAGGTGACTCAAATTCCACATTCCTCTGGCTGGCTGAAGAATGGTTAGATGGTAGAACCATGACATACAAAATTTCCTCCCCTGCTGGGTTAGGAAGACTTGTCCTCTGTTGACCCTACCAGAAGGCAGGGTTGGGGTGCAGAGCCAGGGCCAGAAGCTCAGGGTTTCTTTCTTGGTCTTCAGAAGGATGGTGTGGCTAATGCTGAGGCTACAAATGGGAAACCTCCTCGAGACCTGGGCTTTCAGGATACAGGCAAGCAGGGAGCAGGGGTGGCTGGGCTTAAGGATGGAAGGGAGTTGGGGAAGGGCAGGACCCATCTGCCAGAATCCTGGAGGACCTTCTCTGGGTGCATTTAGCATATCAACTGGGTTTCACCCATCAGGGACTAGAGGGGCACTCTTGCTTTCAATGTTGAAAATATTCAAAGCAGTAATATAATGTGTGAAAGGAGGTACCTGATTGCTAACTGGTTTACAGGCCCTGAGGACTTGGAAACGGTCATAGAGAAGGGAAACTTGGCCTGGGCTTTGAAGGATGGGTAAACCCTGGGGCTTAGTGTCCCATGTGCAAAACTATTTCCCTGTGAACATAGTGTTAATGGACCTTCCAGCCCTCCCAGTGCTCATGTTGATGGTGAGGTCTGGGGCTGACTAGAGGATAGAGGAGCTAGAAGGTGTGACCCTTACAGCCTCCTCCAAGGGCTTAGCTCCTTTGTTGCCTCCTCAGGCTCTGCAGTCTCCCTTCCCTTCCTCTCAAGCCCTCTTCCTACTAGAGACAGAGGAAAAAGGCACCTCTGTCAATATGGGCTGTGCTGGGGGGAACAGGAGCTGGCTTGGGGTTGCTGGGATGCTCCCCCCACCCCAACTCAGCTCTTGTGCCTATCCAGCTGCTGTGATACTAACTGTGGAGTCTGAGGAGGAAGATGAGAGCGACAGTTCAGAGACAGAGAAGGAGGACGACGAGGGGATCATCTTTGTGGCTCGGGCCACCAGTGAGGTTCTCCAAGAGGGCAAGTTCTCAGGTAATGGCTTCCTCACTGCCTCCCTCCCCTTTAGAGCAAGGATTTTCTTCTCTGCTCCTATGGTCTCTGCTCCAGATAACTTTCTTTTCCTATTCACCATTTTAATCACTAACCAGCTTTTACTGAGCATCTCCTTTCTAACAGAAAGCTGACCTACATGATCTGGTTCAACCCTCACAATAACCAAGATGGAGAAACTAAGCTTGTAGATCCTAAAGGACTTGTCAGTTGTCCAGTGTCACATGGCAGAACCAGAATTAGAACCTGATCTGTGTGACTACAAAGCCTAACGCCTCTCACTGCTATTTCTCCATGAGGAGCATGAGATGATAGCAAACCTAATAGCAGGCTCTGCTGTATCCAGGCTTATCATACCTGCCCTCATGTAGAGCCCCAAGTGAGGGTGGTACCTGACCTGGGGTAGGAATCTGAATTAATAAAAATGGAATTATAGATAAAAATGATACATGCATGTTTTCTGCATGTGGAAACCAAATTCAATCATAATACTAGGTATCACTGGTGGTTGGCTCAAGACTTCTCAGGTGACTTTTTAGACAGATTTATTGTAGAAAATTTCAAAATACATAATGATAGAACAGGAAAATAAACTCTTATTTATTCTTTACCCAGCTTTAATGATGACCTATTCATACCACTCTTATTTCACCTTTACCCTCACCTATGACCCTTGCTCTTATGAAAAAAATCTCAAGTATCATACCACTTTATCAATAAATTTAAGCATAAAAATAGGGATTATTTTTTAAAACTATAACCACACTGCCATTACTGTATGTAAAAATCTTTGTCATCAAAGATTCTAGTCCATGTTTAGATTTTCCTGGTGGTCTTAATATTTTTTATAACAGCTTTGTGCAAATAGAAATCCAGGTAAGACCCACACATTACATTTGGTAGATAAGTCCCTTTTATCTTTTAATAGTGGTTCTCAAGAGATGGGATGTGAAGAGATTTGGCATCCCTGAGGATAACCAATTTTTGGAGACATGTTTGATGTCACATCTTGGGATAGTACCCTTGCACTGAGTGGGTAGAGAAAGCCAGGAATGCTGCTACAAAGCACATGACAGCCCTATAACAAAGTGGCTACCTCAAAATGTCAACCCTCACAACAACCAAGATGGTTGTCAAGTTTGGAAAACTCTGAGTGAGCCTTGCTACTTTTTCCCCCTTGCAACATATCTATTGAAGAAACCAGGTTATTTGCCCTGTAGCCCTTCCCTGTCTGGATTTTGCTGATTGCATCCCCAAGTGTCATTTAATATATTTTCTGTCCATTATATTTCTTTTAAATCTAGATCATCTCCTTCTTTCCTTCCTTCCTTTCTTTCTTGGCAGTAGTGGAGATTGAACTCAAGGCTTTATACATGCTGGGAAAGCACTACCACTGAGCTATATCCCTAGCCCTAGCCCTTAAAAGATTTTTTTTTTAATTTTTAAATTTTTAAAAAAATTTTTGGAGACAGTATCTCACTGAATTGCCCAGGCTGGCCTTGAACTTGCAGTTTTCTTGCAGCAGCCTCCCATATAGCTGGGATTATAGGCATATGCCACTGTACCTGGCTCTGTTCTCTTTTCATTAGGCTAACATTGATCCCTGGATTCAGATATTGTTCCCTGCTGTATTCATTTTCAAGTTACTCATTCACCATTTTTTTTTTTTTGGTACCAGGGATTAAACCCAGGGGTACTTTATCACTGAGCTCCATCCCTAGCCCTTTTTATTTTGAGACAGGGTCTCACTAAATTGCTGAAGGTCTCAGTAAGTTGCAGAGACTGACTTCACACTTGCCATCCTCTTGCCTTATCTGGGATTACCAGAGTGTGCCAGCATGCCCAGTTTATTAATTTGCCTTTCATTAAATGGTCTTGGCAGCTATTCATCACTGCCAGATACAATAATTCATTAAGGGTCATATAATGGTGATACTCTGTATCTTTATAAGTATAGGGTACTCTATATGGAGCTATATCCTCAACCCTTTGTATTCTTTTGAGACAGGGTCTCACTAAATTGCTGAAGCTGGCCTTAAACTTGTGATCCTCCTGCCTCAGCTTTCCAAGTAGTGAGGATTAAAGACACGGACCACCACAATTAGCTCCTATTTTTCATCTTCATTTGTTAGCAGGAATTCTGTAAAAACTTTCCCTAAAGTTTACTTTGAGGAACAAACAGGAAATAATGGATAAGTGCTTGATCTTTCCTTTTTTGTCAGTCTTCAGACCAAGAAGTTAGTTCCCTAGCATCCTCTAAAGGTGAACACTGATGGTTTTTGTTGTTGAGTGATGGGAGATGAGACTTTTTGTTACTAAATTTTAATATTCTAGGTCTTTCAAGAGATAATTTCACTTCTAATTATAGCATCAATATTTTATTTTACTTTCTTAGTACTAGGGATTGAACTAAGGACACTAGACCACTGAGCCACATCCCCAGCCCTATTTTGTATTTTATTTAGGAACAGAGTCTCACTGAGTTTCTTAACACCTTGAAGCTGGCTTTGAACTTGTGATCCTCCTGCCTCAGCCTCCCTAGCTGCTGGGATTACAGGCATGTGTGCTACCATGCCTGGCAATCATCAATATATTTTATAACATAATCAAGGTGGTTTGGGGGGTCCTGGAAGAGCTCTATGTAAAGCACTTACCTACTATGTGTGAGGGCCCTGGATTTGATCTACAGCATGAGGAAAAAAAAGAAAGTTTATTAAACTCTTTAGGACTTTATCAATGAATAGTTATGTGCAACACATTGTACTTGACATTGGAGAGCTCAGCTTTCCTCTGTTTAGAACCTCACAATTTCTGTAATTCAGCAGCCTGCACTTCTGGGATTCTCAGCTCCCATTCCCTATCTTGCCATCCCAGCAACTTCAGCCTGCTGTTAGGTTTGTATGAGCTCATGCTCTGGTCTTACAAAGGGCTGTGGTGGGTGCTCAGGCAGTGTGCCCAGCAACAAAGCCTTTGGCCTAGAGCCTCAGGGTCTTCCTCTCCCTGGCTTCCTGTCTCTCTCTTGCTGGCTGGTTGGTATGGAGCTTGGCAGAGTGCAGTTCCTGAGACTGGTACTGCAGGTTTGGTTAAGGTGATGGGAGATGAAACTTTTTTCCTACCTGGCTCCTGCTTCTTCTGCTGCAGCTACTTCCATTTGTTCAGTAGGTATCTCTTGAGCAACTGCTTTTTGCCCAGCCCTGTGGTAGGTGCTGGAAACACAATGGAGAGCAAGACATTCACTGAATAATTGTACAAAGGGTGTGTTATGGCAACTGTGGAATGAATTTACTTATAAGAACGTGCTTATACTTGAGGATTTTACTACATTGGTAATGAGCTCACGTGTACTCTCTGTTCCTAGGAAGCCTTGAGATATGCCCTAGCCCACGCATCATTCCTCCCTCTCCAACCTGTGCAGAGAAGGAACTACCCTGGAAGAGTGGGCAAGGGGACCTGGCAGTGTATGTGTCTTCAGAGACCACCAAGATTGTTCCTGTGGACATGCAGACAGGCTGGAACCAGAGCATGTCATCCCTGGAGAGCCTGGCATCCCCTCCTTGTACCCAGGCCCCCACTCTAACCCGCCTGCCCCCACACCCACTGGGTACTGAAGAGTCCCAGGCACCTCTTGAGCTATCCTCTGATCCCCGTCCTAGCTTTGCCTTTCCCCCAAGCCTGGCCAAGGCTGGCCGATCTCGAAGTGAGAGCAGTGCTGATATCTCCCAGCAGCAGGAGCTGCAGCCCCTCATGGGCCATAAAGGCCACACCCATCTTAGCCCTGGCACTGCTAATTCCCACTGGTGCATTCAATTCAACAGAGGAGGGCGGCTGTAGCCCAGCATCTGGGGAAGAGTAGGTGACAGAACCCTTGTGGGAAGTATTCCCTGAGCAATGGGCAGAGGAGCTCACTCAGTCTGACATGGGGCCAGAAGGGTCTGGACTGAAGCAGAACTAGGTTTCCTTGGGGATGGTCAAAAGGGTCTCTTGGGCTGGTCCTCACAGAGACTCTTCTCATCCCTGCTCCTAACCCCTTCCATTTCCATTTCAGTAATGGCTCAGGACCCAGTCCAAAGTTCTAGGGGCTGGGCCCAGAGATTTGGGTAGCTGACGTCCCTTCCCTAGGGAGTCTTCCTAGGCTCACTGTAGACAGCTAGCTGTTCCTGCCCCTAAAATAAGGACATCATTCCTTCCCTACCCTTTACCCTGTCCCTCCCTAGTACTAGGTCAGGGACAGTGCCCTAACAGTGAGGCTCAGCAAGAGGCTGGTCCTCAGAGGCACTGGAGTGGGAGAGGGAGCGGGCCTCACCCTTGGTCTCTGGTGTCCTATTGGGTCAGTTGGTTTTTTTGTTTTGTTGGGGTAGTGGGCATCTTTGTCTCTACTCCTTGCTTTAGCCCTTTCCCTTTGCTGCAAGGTTTTGGGGTAATGGTTCTTCCTTTTCCAGGACCAGGGCCCTGGGCCAGGCTTCAGTTAAAACTGCTTCTTAGCCAGAGTCCCTCTGGGGATCTGATACTATGGGCCCAAATCTGGGACTCTCTGATGCTTGAATCTGGGTTTTCTGAGGAGGGGACACAGTAGCCTCTGGGCTCCCATGTCACCATCTCAATATTCTTCAGAGAAGGAACCAGGTATCCCAGGGCTACTGCTCCATTGCTCCAGGGGCTGAGATGCCTAGCTAGAGTGAGAGCAGGGGCTGAGTGACAAGTGGCTTTCCTGGGGTTAGCCCCTGCCTTGTGTTTTGTACCTTAGACCCAAGATATATTAAAAATCTCTCAGATGGATGGTGTCTTCTCTCCATGTGTCTGGGGATTCTAGGAGTAGGGACAGCGGGGGTTTGCCTGCCCAGGGATTCTGGGGTAGAGAATGGAGGGGGATCCTAGGTAGGATTCTTAGTCCTGCTGGTCTTCCCCATACCTCTCTCATACTTTTCTAACATTGTCTGCTTCTAGCAGGGGGCTGGAGTGGCATTCTAGGGGAACACTGTATGTGCTTGGGGTTGCAGAACTGGGAATCTACAAAGTAGGAAAGACTAGCAGGAAGAGACACCCCAGAGGTCAGGGGCCAAGTGTCCCAAAATGCAGCAGCCACACCTGGGGACAACAGAAGCATTTCTGGAAAACCTAGAGGCAGATGTGGGACAAATGAACAGAAGTGTCCTTTTATTTATTTATTTATTTATTTAAAGAGAGAGAGAGAGAGAGAATTTTAATATTTATTTTTTAGTTCTCGGCAGACACAACATCTTTCTTTGTATGTGGTGCTGAGGATCGAACCTGGGCCACACGCATGCCAGGCGAGCGCGCTACCGCTTGAGCCACATCCCCAGCCCCAGAAGCGTCCTTTTATACATGGCAAGTGAGAAGGCAATCTCAAGATGGTTACTGTGCATGTTTATGATACAAATCAGATTAGCGTGCGTCCAGAAAACCCTAGATAACAACACTCCCTAATCTAATTCCCACTATGTCTGAAGGATTTTTTTTTGAGAGAGAGAGAGAGAGAATTTTTTTAATATTTATTTTTTAGTTTTCGGCGGACACAACATCTTTGTTTTTTTTGTATGTGGTGCTGAGGATCGAACCCGGCCCGCACGCATGCCAGGCGAGCGCGCTACCGCTTGAGCCACATCCCCAGCCCATGAAAGATTTTTTAAAAGTGTCTTTATTGAGATTAAATGCACATGCCATAAAAATTCACCTATATAATATGTACAGTTCAGAGTTTTTAATATATTCATAGAACTGTGCAACCCTCGCCACAATGTAAGTATAGAACACTTTCATCATCCCCAAAAGAAGCCCTGAACCCATGTATTATTCCTCACACCCCAACCTCTATAGCCCTAGGTAATTACTAGCCCAGGACTAGCTGCAGGACTGAGTATACCAAAAAGGTTACAAAATTAGTAAATTAACATTTACTTTTTCTGCACTGTGCATGGAGAAAACATGAGGAGAAGGAACTTTGCCTTCAAGTTGTTTACTACTAACAATGACAAGGCCTTGTAGTTAACTAATAGTTAACAGTCAGTCCCAGCTGTTACTCACCAGCTATGTCACCTTGGGCGTGTTACAAAAATCTCTCTAAGCCTCAGTTTCCTCATCTCTAAAATGGAATAAAATCATACTTCAGAAGGTTGCTGCCAGGATTAAATGATAAAATAGGGAAGAATCTGTTCCAGGCCTGGCCCATGGTAAGGGATCATAAGCATTTGTCATCATCCATCTTATACTGCAAGGCAAAGGTAGGTGGAAAGTGCTATGGGTCCTTGAGCAGATATGTACAGGCTTCTTAGAGGAGACGGAGTATATGTGTATGTTTGGGGCTGGTACCAGGTGGGAGTTGTGTGGAAGCCAAGTTGGAAGGTGGATTAGTAGAAAGAAAGGCCAGAGATGGAAGACCTTTTGTGAGACTGCTCCAGAAGTCCAAGGGATGTAAAGAGGCTGGTACTGGTAGCTGTTCCCAGACTATGATGTCAGGATCACTGGGAAGCAGGTTCCTGGGCCTACCCCAAAGTTCTGATTCAGCTGGTCTATGAAGGTCCAGAAAACAGGTGAGCAAATTTTGGGGGTTGGGGAGGTAGGCAGATGTCTGCTACGTAGGAAAGGGAGCAAGTCACAAGCTCATTCATTGGGTGCCAAGCCTGACTGGGCTGGCACCAGCTAGGTAGGACTTCTGGGAGAAGGTGCTTTATCTAGGCCTTGAAGGAGGAAGCATTTTGATCAGGGGAGATGGGAGAGGGCCTTGTAAGTAAAGGAGACAATATGAGACAACATTTGTAATCAGATGTTTCCCAGGCCAATCTGGGTGCTGGGAAGAAAGGCTATGATGCCTCTGGATGGCCTTGAATGCCACACCGAATGGAGTTTGGAGTTTATTTACACCAAAGGTTAGAGATGTCTAGAAGGTTTGGGGTATTAGCTGCCATTACTATTTGGGGACAGTGCTGAAGAAGGGTATGCAAGGTGGAGCAAGGGAAATGACTATGAGTCTCTTATTATCAAGCCTAACTGAGGCCCAGAGCTCACATTTTATTTCTGACTGACCCATGTTGGCAAGGAATGGAAAAGCTGAGGAAGGGTTGCGGAAGGGGCAAGGAGGGAAGCCCATCCACATTTTATGATCTCAGTGGAAAAGGCTGGTGTGAGTAGATTCTGCTGCCAGTGGAGCCACAGAGATGGGCTCCATGAGTCACTGCTCAGTCCTGCAAGCTCAGCCCACAGAGCCTGCTGTGGTCAGCCGCCCCAGGCTGGCTCCAGGCCCAGCCCCTCAATGTTCCCCACTAGGCCTCAGTCTGTCCCTGTTTCTCTACCATCTCTGTACCTTTGCTATCCAGGGTTGTGCATCCTGCAGCTCTCTGCTTCTTCTCTATTTCCCTTTCAGACTGAGCCTCTGAATGTCTCCATCTGTGATTGGTTTCCATGCAACTCACAGATGGGAGCCTCAGGAGGGCAGGGGCAATGTGACCAGTCTCAGATACCCCTAGACATTTGTTCTGTGCCAGGCCCAGTGCTGGATAATGAAAATACAGAAGAAGAGGACAACATACAGACTGCTTACAATGCACATTCTATGTGGAATGGGGAAACCAGGGGCTAGCCCTGCCTCTTTCTCAGCATGTCTTTATCCCCCTTACTGATTGCTATGCCCAGGGTGCCAGGAGTCAGCTAGGGCCTGTGGCTTGGGCCTCTTCTTTGCCTCTGGCACTAGGAAGGTATGTGTGCCTGCCAGCAGGTCATCCCAGTTATTAGGGATCCTGAGGTGCTATTGGGTGGGAGTGGGCAGTAGAGGGAGAAAGGGGGAGCAGGAGGCAGTGACTCAGTGGGAGCGGCCTTGGAACAGAGCTAGGGAGGGAGCCAAAGTTGGACCCAATGTTCACTGAAGCTAGAGGAGGGAGGGAAAAGAGATCTGACTGGGGACTGTGGATAGAGCAGAACAACTCCAAGGCCAGCCCTGCTCCTTGCTTGGTATCTGCCTGGGAGTCTGAACTCTGGGTACTGAATGGGTGTGGGGAGGATTCTGTGTTTCCCACTGTGCCTGCTGCTGATGTCCAGGTTCATGAAGGAGGCATCTGCCTTAGGGCCAGGGAAGGCATTATGTTCACTGCCCTCTCCTCTCAGGGATCAAGGGCCTGGGTATGCTAACAGGGCCTGGTCATGTGGTGGGGTTTGCTGCCTTTTCTGGCCACACAGTTGACCTCCCAACAATCTTCACACAAATTTTGAGGAAACTGTCAGGCCAGGCCCACAAGCCCCAAAGGGACCCAAACCTCAGAGCTGGGAGAAATCTCAAGTGTCTTTCATCAGTTCAGTATTCCCTAAGGGTGTAATGAGGGGGTGGAACAGGGCATAAATGTAGCCCCAGAAAGCAGTATTTGACTTTTTGGGTCCTTCCTAGTCCTTCTGGAAATCCCAGGACAAAAGAGTAACTTTCTTGTTTCACAGGTGAGGCACAAAGAGAAGAGAGTCCCTGGAGCTCCTCCCAAAGGTGAGTGGAGAAGCCAGGTCCAGGCTAGATCCAGGTCCAGGACCCCAACATCAGCACCAGCCTCCTTAGCTGGACTTTTTTGGGAAAGGGTTAAAATGAGGTGCCAAGGAAGCAAGAGGGTGGAGGGTCTGTGGGCCTGATGCATTCTGGCAGGCCTGGGTCAGCTCCCACTCCAGAGGCTGCTCTGTCTTCTCCACCTTGCAGCCCAGACAGAGGGGTATTCCATCCTGTTGTAGGATACCACAACCTCTTTATCTCAATGACAAATTTTTTGTTGTTCTTGGTTTTTTTTTTGCTGAGGATGAAATTCAGGGCCTCCCACATGCCACGCAAGCCCTCCATCACGGAACTACACCAGGAGCCCACACACTCTCTCTCTTGGTGTGTGGACCTGGGCACTTGAAGGCAGAAGGGGTCTTAGGTGGAGGGGGCCCCACACTCCCAGCCTCCTCGAAGATATCTCTACTGGCTCCCAGTAGCTGCTGCGGGGTTAGGGTGTCTCTTCCTAGGAGCCTCTCGGAAACCCGAATTCACATTTGTCTTTTTTGGACCAGATTTGCTAGGGGAGCTGGGAAGGTCTTCCAGGACCCTGCTGGCTTGCAAGGCGACGCCCCCTCCGCTACAACCAAGGGCTTTCCCCCGGCGCGAGCTGGGGCAGCCGACCTGCAAGCCCCCTCCCCAGCCCCCAGCAGGGCGCCGCTCACTCACGCTTCCGGCGTGTCGGCTGGCAGAGCCGTGGGCTCGGTGGAACGGCCGTTAGACGCTGTCGACTCGCGCACTGAGACGCCGGGGGCGGGGCGCTCAAGTCCGGGAGTGCCGTCAGACCCGTGGGTAAGGGGCGCTGTGCGGGCCCACGCCTCGGCGCTTTCCCGCCGCCCGGCGGTCTGCCGTCGGGACCTGCAGGGTGGGCTGTGGCTTCGTCCTCCGGCCCCCAGGGGGCGGCGCGGCGCTGCGTCTCCAGTGGCCCTACTTTCCATCCCCGCCGCCAGGAGGCGGCGCCATTGCACGCCGGGCGCCCAGGCTGTTCCCGCCGTCGAGGCTCAGGAGTGTTCGAAGGCTCGGCTCCCGGGCTTCGCGGTTCCCTGCGGCACTCCCAGGAACGTGAGTGTAGGTGGCGGACGACTGAGTCGCGCGCCAGTCCCCCGAGTTGGACTGGCGGGGAGCGTGAGCACGAGGCAGCCTCAGGGGTAGTCCTGCAAAGCCTAGTGTGAGGCGAAGTCCAAGGGTGGAGTCGGGTGGGACCTACCAGGCAAAGGCTCATGGGAGCACGACTAGGGCCCTGGTCAGGAAGGAGACCCCTGACTTTCTTTCCCCTTCCCCAGGCCTTCAACTCTTCGGTAGCAGCAGCACTTCCTGTATCTGGGCACCTCCTTTGGCCTAGTGCGCTCTGCCTGGCGTTGCTCCTGGCATCTCCTTTGTTTGACACCTCCTTTGGCCTATTGCGCTCTGCTTGCGTTGCTTGTGGAGCCTTGTGGGACCATCTTCAACACAGTTCCTGGATGAGCCTAGGCCTCTTTTCACACCGAGTCCTAGCCCCTGCCCACTTGCCCTGAGCAGGACCACCCTTAATAGGGGGTGATGGAAAGGTCCCTGGAGGGTGGGGATGAGTCCCCAGACTCCCAGGGGCATGCCACCGACTGGAGGTTTGCTGTATGCAGTTTCAGGGATGCCTGGGAGGAGGAGGACTCTGCTTCCCAGAAGCAGATTAAGGACCCTAGTCCTCCACGACCACCTGCCCAGGGCGAAGGGCTTCTGGGCAGCCCCTTGTCCAGGGACCTACAATTACCTTCAGAACTACAGGCTATAGATGGATCGGGGGATGGCCAGAAGAGCACATTAGGAGGCTCCTCAGTCCAGTCAGAGGAGCCATTCCCCTCTGGAGTGGAGAGCCTCTTGTGCCCCATGTCCTCCCACCTCAGCCTGGCACAGGGTGAAAGTGACAACCCAAGGGGAGGTTTGGTAGGGGACCCAGGTCCAGGAGAGGCATTGCCAGCAGTCTTAGGCCCTGGGGGGTTGGACAGCAGCCCTGTGGATCTTGGAGACCCTTTATCAGACACATCATCCAAACCTATGGTGACAGGTAAGGAAGGCTGAGCTAGGGAAGTCTGGGAAGGGAATGGGGATACCCAGAGGTGGGTATTAAAATTTGGAAAGGTCTCTGACCCTATTCAGGCTGAAGCCCTGATCTGTAGAGGGGTCTTTAAGTAGGTGGCCCCATGGAGATCCAAGCCATTTCTCTTCCAAGACTCTAGGAGATCCAGCCTTCCCAAGTCTGCCAACTGCCTCCTGGCCCAAAACCTCACCTGGGAACTGCTGGCCAGTGGCATGGCTGCCTTGCCAGGTAGCTAAGAGGGCCTAGAGGCAGTGGAGGTGGGGTGGCCTAATTGGATGAATGTTCAATGCCACCTCCCCAACAGGAACTCGTGATGTAGAAGGCCGAGCTGTGCTACTGTTGTGTGCCCACAGCCCAGCCTGGCTTCACCCCAAGTGCGGCAGCCATGAACTCATCTGCCTCCTACTCTACTTGCGAAGCATCCCCAGGTTTGGGGGAGATGGTTGGGGGACTGGGCTTGAGCTAGGAGATGTCAGGACCTGGGAATCAGATACTAAATTGAAACACATCCCTTTAGGCCTGAAGTCCAGGCCCTGGGACTTACCATACTAGTTGATGCCCGGATTTGTTCCCCAAGCTCTTCCCTCTTGTGGGGGCTATGCCAACTACATGTGAGTACAGAATTGCATCTCCCCTCCATTCCTATTGTGTAGAGGGTACAGGACTGAGCTCTGATTCCTTGCAGGAAGCAGCTCCGGGGTCAGTGCACCAGGTGCTGCTAATGGGAAAAATGCCTGAGGAGGTACCTTCAGGGCTTCAGGTACTGAGCCAGGTTGGCTGGAGGTTGGAGGTGGGGTCTTCTCCACTAGCTTAGGTCACAACACATTCTTCTCCTATAGCTTGAGCAGCTGCCCTCTCATCAGAGCCTGTTGACCCACATCCCTACTGCAGGGTTGCCTACTTCATTAGGAGGATGCCTGCCTTACTGCCACCAGACTTGGCTGGATTTCCGAATGGTCAGTGCTCTGGGTAGGTGGGTGGGTAGGGTTGTTTAGGTAACCTGAACCTGTGGAGGAATCTGTCCTGGGTTGGCTACAGTAGGACAAAGCTGGCTGCAGTGGCCTGAAATTCAGGAAACCTGGGATCAGCACTTCATTCTGGTTATTCTTGCTCCTGATAACAGCGACTGGAAGCCCTCCTGCAGAGCTGCCAGGCAGTTTGTGCCCTGCTCCAGGGGGCCATCAAGAATATGAAGGCTGTACCTCAGCCTATGGATTTTGGGGTAGGTGTCCCCTCCTGATAACTCCCTGAATATTCTGACTCCCTCCTCTCCCATGTCCACCACCACCTGTTGCCCTCAATCACAGGAAGTTGGTCGGGTGCTACAGCAGGCACAGGTCCTGATGCAGCAGGTGCTGGACTCACCACAGCTGGCATGGCTACAATGCCAGGGGAGTTTAGAACTAGCATGGCTGAAGCAGGAGGTCCGAGAGGTGACCCTGAGCCCAGACTACAGGTAAGTATGAGCCCAGGTTCCAGATCTTACCCCAGCACAGCCCACCATATCCATGTCAAAGATTCAGGATTAGTGGGATTAAGGTCTCAGTACAAGGTAGATCGGAGAAAGGGGACCAGTAAGGTGCATGGTCTTACTGTGTACTCTGTACTAGGCCAGCGGTAGACAAGGCTAATGAACTATATGGCCGTGTAGATGGACTGCTGCATCAGCTGACCCTGCAGAGCAACCAGCGAGTGCAGGCACTAGAGCTGCTCCAAACACTGGAGACCCAGGAGGGCAGGCTGCACCAGGTGGGAACTTTTTGACCAAAGTGAACCCCACACCTGGTTTTAAGTGTGAACCCAATGCACACAGTCCCCAGCTCTATACAAAAGCAGCTCTCCTTTCCTCTTCCTGCTTGTGCTTTTATCCAGATTGAAGTATGGCTACAGCAGGTTGGCTGGCCAGCACTGGAGGAGTCAGGGGAACCCTCACTGGACATGCTGCTTCAGTCTGTAGGCCCTTTCCGGGAGCTGGACCAGGTTGCCCAGGTATATTTAGTCACTTATTCTCTTCTGTGAGTATAGGTTACTTTGCCGGTGACTAGAATTGCAGAAGTGAATGGAAATAAGTCAATCCCTTGCTCTCCTGGTATATACTGTCCATCAGAGTATGTCAGTTATAATCAAAAGTTTGCAGACAGATATGTTTGTGCAAAACTGAGACTAAAATTCTACTTGAGTATGTAACAAAGATCTGACCTCTCAGGGTTGTTGAGCAAGCTTTCTTAGGGTGATTTTTGAGCTGAGAGCTGAAGGGTAAGTTGGGGTCAATCAGGCCAAAGAGGGTTGGGGATAGAGGAACTTCTAGGCTGGGAGAATATGATATGCCTGAGGAGCCATAAGGCCAATGAGGTTGGAATGTGGAGCAGAAGAGGGAGAGTAGAATGAGATGAGTCTGGAAGACCGGTCATTGGCCAGATCCTGTCACAGTAATATGTTTAAGAAAGAAGTATAATCAAACTGTATTCTAGGAAGAAGATCTAAGTTTCTAGGTAGGGATTTGGAGGATGGAAATGGAAAATACAATGAAGTGGCAATTCATGCTTTTGAGATGTCTAAGAGAGAATGATAGAAGGCCCTTAGGCATTGTGTCTGAAGCTCAAATGAGAGGTCTGCCTGGAGAGGGTCACTTGGTGGATGTAGTGTGTGGTCACACCGGATTGTCTAGGGGACAGAGCGCACTATCTTCAGGAGCCTAGGTGAGAGAAAGGGAGAAGGAGGAAGAACCACTGATAAGCATAAGGAGAGTCAGGAGAGACGGAGGAATTGGAGTCCAGGAGAGAGAGGGCTGAATGTTGCTGAGAGCTGTATTTGGAAGGCTTGAGAGAGGGGAAAGTGGATACTGGGAGTGGGTGGAGGAAAGGCCTTCTACCTCAGGAGAGATTTAAAGACATGTAAATGTCAGTGGAAATGATCTGGGTTCAGGACTGGACCATCAGATTTGGGCCAGCTGAGCCCATTCTTTTTGTCCAGGAGCAAGTCAGGAGAGGGGAGAAGTTTCTACAGCCACTGGCTGGCTGGGAGGCAGCTGAACTGGGTCCCCCTGGGGTGCGCTTTCTGACCCTGCGAGCCCAGCTGATAGAATTCTCTAGGGCTTTAGCCCAGCGGCGCCAGAGGCTGGCAGATGCTGAGAGACTGTTTCAGTTCTTCAAGCAGGTGGGTGAGAGGTCCTATCTGTGGCTTTATTCTCAGAGGAACCAAAAATGGCTGCTGCAGCTTTACCTCAGCCTGAGTGCCTTCTGTTCATCCTGTTTTCTGACCCTGAAATCCAACCACTTGGGACATGGTGTGGGGCTAGCCTTCTGAAGGGTGGATCAGTAAAGGAACAGAAAACTTGCTGGGGTTCCCCTTTCATGCCCATCTGGTCTTGGTGTTGCAGGCCTCAACATGGGCTGAGGATGGGCAGCGAGTACTGGCAGAGCTGGAGCAGGAGCACCCAGGGGTTGTGCTACAGCGGCTACAGCTGCACTGGACCCAGCACCCTGACTTGCCTCCTGCGCATTTCCGAAAAATGTGGGCTCTGGCCACAGGGCTGGGTTCAGAGCGCATCCGCCAGGAATGCCGCTGGGCCTGGGCACAGTGTCAGGATACCTGGTTGGCCCTAGACCAGAAGCTAGAGGCTGCACTGAAGCCACCACTGACAGGCAGCACAGCTAGCCTGCGTGTCAGCCAGGTTCCTGCAGTACCTGCTACTCCTCCCTTGAGGAAGGCCTACAGCTTTGATCAGAATCTGGGGCAGAGTCTCAAAGAGCCTGCCCACCACTTCCATCATGCTGCCATTGTCACTGCCTGCCACAAACCAGAGGCTGGAGGAGGTACCCGTCCCAGGTCATACTCTACTTTGCCTCTACCAGGCAAAGACCTCAAGAGCCCCAATAGGTACAGGCAGTGGGCAGGAGAGGGAGGGCAGTGGAGGGTAGATCCTTGGAGGACTCAAGGGTTCCTATTCATTCTTCCTGGTAGGCCACAGTTGGTGTTGGCAGAGATGGTGGCCACTGAGCGAGAATATGTCCGGGCCCTTGACTACACCATGGAGAACTATTTCCCTGAGCTGGATCGCCCCGATGTGCCACAGGGTCTCCGTGGCCAGCGAGCTCACCTTTTTGGTAACCTGGAGAAGCTGCGGGACTTCCATTACCATTTCTTCTTGCGTGAGCTGGAGGCTTGCACCCAGCACCCACCCCGAGTAGCCTATGCCTTCCTACGCCACGTAAGCCCCACAGGCCATTTGGCCCCAGCTGATTCTGTCACACTCCAAATAGCTGTTAGGCTCCTTGCTAGGAATAGCTGTGAATGAGACCCATAAGTTCTCTGCATCTCAGGGTGTTTTTGGTTCAGGAGGAGAACCTTATAAATGAAAAAGGTAATTCCAGATCATAGCTGGGATTGGGAGGAAAATAAACAGGACAAATGCATGTTACTATTGGGACAGGGTTCTCACTTTAGAGAGAGCAGTGAGATGTACCCTTTGAGCTGCAGATATTTGAGCTGAGGCCAGACAGGGAGAGTATTCCACCCCAGGAAAGAACAAGTGCAAGGGCTGTGGCAGGAAAGAGGCCTGGTCAGAATGAGCATAACTAAATGTAGTTAGCAAGAGAATGAGTTCAAGGTGAGGTGAGACCAGAGATATTCTTAGAGCTATGGGAGGGGCAGAGCTGAACATAGAGATTCAGTCTGAGGAAATGGGGCTTCTTCCCCACAGGGCCTGAAAAGCCCCTTCTGCATGGAACCTATTCCTACCAGATCATCCCTCATTCAAAGCAGGCTCTAGGGGAATGCCCACTGAGAGGTGCTGGCATTTTAGTTCTCTTGAATTGAGAAAATGATTTATCTGGGGTGGGGGCAGCCTTTGGGAGCTGGGCTTCTTGTAACTGTGCTGAGTGGCATGTCCTTATAGAGGGTGCAGTTTGGGATGTATGCACTCTACAGCAAGAATAAACCTCGCTCTGATGCCCTGATGACCAGCTATGGTCACGCCTTCTTCAAGGTAGGAGTCCCTGAAACTGGGAGGAGTAGGATAGAGGGTGGTGTACCTTGAAACCACTCAGTGGTCTCCCACCCACCTTGCAGGACAAGCAGCAAGCACTGGGAGATCATCTGGACTTGGCCTCCTACCTGCTAAAGCCTATCCAGCGCATGAGCAAGTATGCACTGCTACTGCAGGAGTTGGCACGGGCCTGTGGGGGACCTGCACAAGAGCTGAATGCCCTACAGGAGGCCCAGAGCCTTGTACACTTCCAGCTACGACATGGCAATGACCTGCTAGCCATGGATGCCATCCAGGGCTGTGATGTGAGTCATCTTGGGCCATAATGTTCAGGTGCCCTGGGTATGGAAGGAGAGGTATGCCCTGGGCACCCACCAGGCCCTGATTTTGCAGGTTAACCTCAAGGAGCAGGGGCAGCTAGTGCGACAAGATGAGTTCACAGTGCGCACTGGGCGTCACAAGTCTCTTCGTCGTGTTTTCCTCTTTGAGGAATTGCTACTCTTCAGCAAACCTCGCCGTGGGCCTGCGGGTGTTGACACATTTACCTATAAGCGTTCCTTCAAGGTGGGCCCACCTGCCCCTGCCCCCTGCCCCTGCCCCTGCCCCTTCCCCTTCCTTATGCCTCACCAAGCCCCCCACCCCTTGCTACACAGATGGCAGACCTTGGCCTCACTGAGTCCTGTGCGGATAGCAAACTGCGCTTTGAGATCTGGTTCCGTCGTCGCAAGGCCAGGGACACCTTTGTGCTACAGGCCTCTAGCTTGGCCACCAAGCAGGCCTGGACAGCTGACATCTCCTGCCTGCTCTGGAGGCAGGCTGTCCATAACAAGGGTGGGTCTCTGCCCCTTAGTTCATTCCATGCTCCCCTCCCCAGAGTATGGGTACCCCAGGAGCCCAGGGAGGATCAAGGGACCTAGAAGTTTGGGAAGAGGAGGTAGCCCATCAGCAGCAACCAGTGTAAGGGAAACAACTTCAAAGTCACTGTCTGTGACATTGGACACAGTATTAACCTTTGAGTGTCAAGGTTCTCTATTACGGGAATTATGATACCTGCCCCGTTGGGAGGAGAGAATTTGGTACCAGAAAGACTCAGTGTACAGGATAGTTAATCTGTGGGATATGGGTGAAGAGGAAAAACTTATCAGATAGAGCCCAGTGGGGCCTCATTTGTGATTACTCTACTCAGAGATGCGTTTGGCTGAGATGGTGTCCATGGGTGTGGGGAACAAGGCCTTCCGAGACATCGCACCCAGTGAGGAAGCTATCAACGACCGCAATATCAACTGTGTCCTAAAGTGCCGAGGTAGCACACAGACTTTGGGGGTAGGGCTGATAAAAGCTGTGCAGAGAGCATTGTGGACTTCTGTCAGCCCTGACTTCTGACCTGTCCCAACCTGATCCTCTCTTATGCAGAAGTTCGCTCTCGGGCTTCCATTGCTGTGGCCCCATTTGACTATGACAGCCCCTACCTGGGGTCCTCAAGCTCCCTTCCTGGAGACCCTGCCTCTTGCTCTGTTCTGGAGTCCCTCAACTTGCACCTGTACAGAAACTCGGCTCTTCTGGGTGTCCGCTGGCCCCTGTATCCTCCAAACTTCCCAGAGGAAGCAGCATTGGAAGCTGAGGCAGAACTGGGCAGCCAGCCCTCTTTGAGTATGTCTGGGGTTAGCCAGAGGCAGGCTATGGTCTGGGCCTCTCCTGCTGACAACTCACCCAGTCTCCTTCCCTAGCTCCTGAGGACTCTGAAGTCTCATCCCAATGCCCATCAGCCAGTGGCTCCAGTGGCTCTGACAGCAGCTGTGTGTCAGGGCAGGTCTTGGGCAGGGTCCTTGAGGACTTGTCCTATGTGAGTGGCATCTTGCCTTATCCCATCAGCCTCCCCAGCCCAGCTTTTCCTTCCTGGGGGTGTGTGGGCCATAACAATTCCCAAGGGACCCCTGGACCCAGAACCAGGGAAGCAGGCATTCATGCCTAGCCTGTCTCCACAGGTCTGACCTCAGTGGTGATAAGTGAATCTAGAAGCCAGTATCTCCAAGGAACATCACTTCTCTGGATCTTCTGGTGCTGTTCCACCTCACTGTTATCTGTGGCCACTGACTACCCTGGAGCCTCTGGCTGCACAGCCTGGGAAAGAACCTTTATCCCAGGTTTCTGGCTCCATGTGTCCTTCTCCTGTCCCTACTCCCAACTTTAAGTTCAGAATAGGCTAGGGCAAGTATTTACATGCTCTAGGTTAGTGGGGTACCATGTGGCTTTGGGCAGTGACTGGGCTGCACCCAGCCCTTGGAAGAAACATAGTGAAACTGCTCACTGGCTTTAATGATGAGCTCCCCAAACACAGGAGCCAGCCCACCCCTAGTGGTCCCACCCTTGCCTGCCCTGGCTCCCCAGGTCCATCCTCTGCTTTTGGGCCAGTTTGGTTATTTTGATATGATTCCTTTTGAATAGCTTTTAGAGTTCGTTATTATCTCACAGGTCCCCTTAGTCCTTTGTCACTGAAGTCCTTTGTGTCTCAGAGAAGGAGTCTAGACCTTTGACTTGTGATCCACTGTTTTATTTGTTTAATTATAATTAAAGAATAGACTGATTTGGATGGGCACATGCATGGGGTGGAGGCTGCAGGGCAGCATCTCTGGGCATCCTAGCCCTTTTGGATGGGCACATGCCTGGGGTGGAGGCTGCAGGGCAGCGTCTCTGGGCACCCTAGCCCTCTTGTAAGTACTTGCTTAAGACAGAGTAAGAGACAGATCTAGACAGGCCTCTCTGGATGAGCAGGTCCACGCAGCGGCCATATTTTCTGGCAAAAGGCAGTGTAAGCTGCAAGGAAAGGCCTGTCTTACCCCTGATTGTCCAAGTGGGTAGATGGAGATAGGGACAGGGTAAGCCTCATTTTTGGGGTTTTGGGGAACTTTGATGCATTAGGGCATCTCATAGGGCTGTGGCTAGCAGTGGCTAGCTACCAGGCAAATGAGAAAAATTGAGGTCAGAAGTGTTTCCTACTTCTGAATTTTTTTTTTTTTAGTTGTAGATGCCTATATCCTTTATTTATTTTTATGTGGTTCTGAGGATCCAACCCAGCACCTTGCATGTAGAAATCATTTTAAGGAATCATTCCTTTGTCCAACATTTATGGCAATGTTTTGGCTACAAGGTAAAGTTGGAAAGGCCTAACTTCTGTGTGCACAAGCTTGGGTTTATGGGACATGCTTTTCCAAGTGTGGCTAGGGTTGTTGGAGAAAAAACTATAAAAATCAATGTTCTGACTACTCTGGATCAGTTAATTTCACTTACTATTTCTCAAGACCAGAGGCCAGTCTTCTAGCTGCCTCTGATCTAGCCTTCTAGACAGTACTGTCTAGTAAGACAGTACCCATATGAGGCATCCACAGGGTTGCTGTTCCCAGTGTGGTGCAGGTAGGCTTACCTCCACCCAGCTGTATAGGCGCTCCTGAGTGTGCCGGTCATCCTTGAAGCCAGCGATGGCCAGCAAATCCACCACAAACTGCTTGGGGCTGATGTGCAGAGTCTGCCAGGAGAGCCCACAGTCAGGCAGACCCATGAGCAGCTCCTAATCCCTCAGTTAGTAACATGTGGGCCATGGGCTTCCTGGGCCTATAGGAGCCACAAGGGTCTGGGACAGGCACTCCACATCTACCTTGTGGCTAAGAGTAGGTCCAGATAAAACTGCCCTGACTTCCCCTTACCACTTATTGAAGGGAAGATTGAAGGGAAGCATGAAAGGACAGATGGAGAAGGTATAGCCTAACACACATACCCACAACCGGTTGGCCAGAGAGACCACCTTGGCCGTGATGGCTTTAGGATCCTTTTGCCTGATGGAATCCAGGATAATGTCCGTCAGGAATCGGTGACATTTCTGTGCATAAAACATCTCTTCCCAAGACAGAGAGAAACTAAGAAAAGTCACCTCTGTGGAGGAAGGAAAGAGTAGATATCATATCTCCCCACAGCCAGATAACCTTAGAGATAGCCAAGGGGACAGGGGGAGAGGTATAGGGTTCCTAAGGAACACTTTCCCTCAAGTACCCTGGGTGGGGACTCAGGCATCTCCAAAGAAGTACAGGGCTAGGCATGGCTCCAAAGTCTCACCTCGGGGCTGGGGGCTGGCTGTGAGTGGTGTATGTCTGAGGTTATCCATCTGTGTGGTATAGATGATGCTGTCCTCAAAGAACATACAGGAGCCATCACTACCCACAACAGGCGGGTGAGTCACTTTAAGGATGACCCCTGGGTTGTCTACCCCACTGGCATTAGGCAGAGGCTGCTCAGGTGCGGGGCTTTCTGTGAAAACAAGAAGGGCAAAGAAAAGCTCTCAAGCCTAAGAAGAGCCCTAAGCTAAGAGCCCAAGAAAGGAAAGGGGACCTCTGGTGACAGACCAGTAACCCCACTCTTCCAGAAGCATCCAGCTTCTTAGAAATGGCACCCTTTCTTCTCTTCACTGCCCTGGCATCATTGCAAGCCAAATTTTGAATTTCTGAACTCCAAGGAACTCTCCAAATCCTTCTGTTGATGTAGTACTAGTATCAAATAGGGCCAATAACATAATCATTGAAGGACTGGGAATGTATAAAACTGTAAAATAAGAAGACCTTTATGGGTGAGATTCTCATGTGCCCACTCTGGAAGAGTGGATGTTTGCCTGAATATTGATAGATCAAATTAGGGCTCATAGATAGAGTCCAACAAGGTCCTTCCAAGCAGGGCCTGAGTCACTAGAAGGTAAGGTGACAGTACTGTAGGAAGATCTTTTGAAGGAGCAAAGAAAACAGCCTGGCATGGCAGTTCTCAGCACACTTCCCTGGACCACCTCCCCACTACCAGCCACACAGGAACTCTCTGCATCCTAGTCTCCATAGGCCCTCTGGTCTCCTGGACTTCTCCACCTGTGTGTTCCCTGGTATTCCACATGATTTGTGTGCTCTTCTACAAGATCTACTTTCTCTTGTCCTCCCCACCTTGGTAGGTGCCCACCTCCTAGTATGCTCATTCTTTGACCCAGCCTAGAAAGAACTTCTGCTTCTGACACACCCTGTCCTGCTGCTGCGCTTCCTTTACCCCTGAGCAAGGTTTCTGAGATGCCTACCTGACCACATGCTCCCAAATTCTTCAGGGGCTGTCTGCTCCTCAAGGTCAGAACAGCACCACATCCTGAACTTGGCCCACAAGACCTGCCTTCAGCCTCATTTCCATGGCTTCTGCATAGGAAGAAGCCAGTGCACCGTCTAGACCAAAGGTCTGTGCTTTCCACAAACTACTACTCTGGATCATTAATTTCACTTACTATGTCCTATGGGAAATTAACTGTTTTCCTTTCTGCCCCCCCCCCAGGCTCCCTGTGCTCCTACTACTTAGATTCTCCCTTTCCACAGTACTAATCACTTCACCTTATAAGGTCTCTTAGCTCCCCAAGCTATGCTAGCATACCAGTAATTTCTGTGACTGCTGCCTGGCTCAAAGCTGGCATTGGAGGGCAGGCTCTAGTCTCTCTTTCACTAACTAGCTCTGTGGTCTCAGCCAAGGGATTTGTCTTTTCTGTTGTAAATGAGACTTTGGTCAAGAATGGGGTAGGACTCACCTCTCTCCTTTGGTCTCTGCTTGCCCCAGTCCTTCAGGGAAATAGCTCTTTTTGTAGGGAAGTATGGCTTAAAGGTTGGCTCTGGCCCCTTGTCTTTTGCTCCAGCTCCAGCCCCTGCTGGTAGACCTGAATCCTTCTCTGACGCTATGGAATGGGCTTTCCAAGTAGCAGAGGTGCTGGACTGGGAAGCAGTCTCACTTCCCGAGGGGAGATGCAGGGCACCCTCCTCCAAGGAGTTGTTCCGGGAGGCTGTCATTGGCTGGAATTCCCACTGTTTGCAATTGACCATGTCCCATTCCCTCACCAGGGAGATGAGCTTTTGCATGGGGGTGACAGGGGGATCTTTAGTTTCAGATTTCTGGGTGAGGTTGATTGTGGTACACTTCTTTTTGGGGGGACTTTCAGAGTGGCCTCCCCAGTGTCTGGGGTTAGCACATAAGCTAGAGCAGTGTGAGTATGCACTGGGATTGCCTGCCCTCTTGGTATTTCGGCACAGGGAAACCTGGATAGTCCGAGTATACTGTTCAGGCTCTTCCATTTGACTGGATCTGGCCAGATTCCCCTTGGCCTTGTTCCATGGAGTCCTTTCATTGCAGTCTTGGAAGTCCATAGGCATGCAGGCTGTGGTCTGGGAAAGGAGGGACATAGTAGCTCTGGGCATGTTATACATTGTCATCGAACCCTTGCCCAAGCTGAATCTCTACGACTTCGCTGTTCACCCAGAACAATCCTATCCCTGACATGGGTCACCCATTTTAGCTTTGTTTGATCTGAATAAGGGTGGTGCCAGCCCAGGGGCTTCTCACTCCAACCAGATAGATTATTGGTGTTTCAGGGGACAAGTGGTCAGCATGTCCCTGTGCCTCCTTCAAGGTTCAGAAATCAGTTCCTGTACTAGGAACCAGTGTAGGTCCTGCTCTTTCACTACCATATTCTTTAGTACCTGGGCCTACCCCAGTCTACCCCAGGACTTGTAGCATTTTTTAAAAATATGTTTTAGTTGTAGATGGACACAATACCTTTATTTTATTTATTAAAATTTATGTGGTACTGAGGATCAAACCCAGTGCCTCACACATGCTAGGTGAGCACTTTACCACTGGGATTGAGCCACAATCCCAGCCTTGTGAGGGCATTCTTTGAGAAGAGTGCCAACCAAGTGAGATTGGGCCTTACTTCTTTGGCATCTCTACTGAACTCTACGAGTGACCCTGGTCCTTCTGTCACCACGTGCAGCTTCCTGATGGGAAAAGCTTCTTCATTTTCAGATTCTTTCTCCTGAGTCCATGACCTGCAAAGACCAAGAGGGGTTGGTTAGTGAGTGAAAACTTCCATCAGCTCATCAGCTGGTTGGTCAGGGATAGACAGTGGAGGAAAGGAGTTCCAATTAGATCACTGGCCAATCTTGAGCCTGTTATTCCTTTCACCCCAGAAAGACCAGGTCCCACTAGTAGTTGAGACTTAGCATTTCCAAGAGGAATATAAAGGTCCAAACATGGAATTCTGAGTGAAGTTTTCTTACTTGTATGCCTCACATTGTGCAAGGGCTTCTGAGAGGGATGGAATGTGGTATTCCTCCACCTCCTGGCAAAAGAGAGGCCATTCCCTGCAAAGGACAAGGAGATGTCAGACTGGGCAGTTGGGGTGGGAGTTGCATAAGCCTTCAGAGAAGCTCCCTTGATCAATAATGCCAACGTTGGAAATAACAACAACCTCCCCACTGAATTCTGTAAACCTTTCTTTTGTTGAAGAAGGGGTAAACCTCAGTGATTTCATCATTGATTACTTGCTTTGCTTACTTAAATTCAGATGGTAAAAAGAGTTTTCCAAGTCTCAGGAAGTTGAGAATATGTCGGAACATTTGGCCATCCCCATGGATAAGTAGGGTCTGTCCGTATGTGATCCAGTATACTCTCTGAGAGTTGGACAGCAGTTCTGGATACTGGAGGGGGATAGATAGCAGAATCAGTTAGTCCCCAGGGCTAGGTCTTTAGTGAGGGACAGGTCAGTCACCTCTCAATTTCCCTTACCACACTAGAGCAGATGTTTTGGGATTTCTGTCTCCCTGTCTTACAGGCACAATTGGGAGCAGAACACCCTGGGCGATGCACACCATCTCTGCTTCAAATTTTGATGATCCCCCCTCTCCAAAACATTTGGAACACCATCCTACCTCCTCCTCAGGCCATGCCCCTCAGACCAGCCTCCTCCCTACCCACACTGTTGAGTCCTTTCCAGCATGCTGCTATTCCATTTCTTGCCATAAGGAAAGAGGGCTCTAGGCAGTGGAGTTGGGAGAAGTCCTTGTTCTAAGCAGGTGCTGGAGGCTGTGTGAGGGTTAGTTGACAAGTCCCAAAGCAGCTCAGGCAGGGAAGCCAAAGTGAAAAAGGGAAGCTGGGGTTAGCAGTACCTTCAGCAGGGTCTGCAGGGTGGTTGCATACCAATGGCTTCCAACATAAACTTTGATAATCTGTTGTGGGGAATACACAGTAATCTCTGCTGTCCACTCATCTATGGAAACCAATGAGAGGGAACACATCATATGGACAGAAGGAAGATTATATATTGCATGTTAAGGCTCCCTGTATTCATCATTAATAAGATGTGGCCTATTCTGAGAAGCAGCAGGAATCCTGACATACCAGCTTTTCCTGGTCCTCACCATACAGCTTCCATGGAAGTGAGGTGGCTTAGAATAACAGTTTTCAGGGTCAATTGGCAACTCTGGAGTGGGAAGCCCTCTGGAATTCCAATCCCAAGGGCACTGTTCCTTCTCCTGACCCACCTCCCTCAAGAAAGCTCAGATGATGATTCCATCTACATTGCCTCCTGCCTTGGGTTTCTGGCTGTCTGTGTCATAGTGAGGCCACTTTTGTGGCCATTCATTCATACTGGAGCTAGAAGTCTAGGTTTCTGTTTGAGATTTAGCAGATATCATGGAGCCAGCTTTCAACAAATTACTGTCACTTTTCTAGAGACCAAGCCTCTAGGTATGTCACAGGGCTCTATGCTGGAAAGATGAATCCATGACCCTTTTCTTGGGAGAATGACTATATTTAGGTGTTATTTTGATGTTTGAGAACCATTTTCTTATGAGTATTGGGATGAGTACAGGGTGTAAAACTAGATTATATGACCAAGAGGCAGGAAGTACAGAATTAAACTAAGAACACCCAAAAACATGGACTGAGTCTGTGTGACTCACTTTTCTACTTCCAGTATGTATCCTTGTCCTGGTACATTGTTGGTGCTCAATAAATATTGAATGTTGCTGAATGATAGCACTACAGCTTAAACCTACTCTAAAAAACCAAGAGGTTATGAACTGTTGAAACATCACTTCACTGACTTTGGACTCAGATTCAAACCCCAGTCATGTAATTTGAGCAAGTTTCCCCTTGAGCCTCTGCTTCATCTGTTAAATGGACCCAGGAACCATTCTTCTTTGCCTAATTATAAGAAACAACTGAGCACATCATGTTGGTTCCTGGGGCTGTGCAGTCCCAGACTGGGTAGCAGCCCTGTTTGTACTCCTGGGACAAACTGTGGACTTGGACATGAGGATGGGGATCTTAACATGAAGTTTACATTTAGAAAATCCACAAATGTTGATTTTCCCCTCCTCTTCCATCTACAGTTCCTGGTCCTTTCCTGTATCATCTTTCTTTCCTTATCTTTCTAGGATCCCCTAGATATCCCACCACCCCCATGCTAAATTCAAACCCAATAACTTCCTCATTTACTAAGCACATCCATGGGTGGCAAACTCCTTGGTTCCAGATGAGTCTTCAGAGCCACTTTCATTGGCTCATAGGTGATGTCCCTCTTGTCCAGGAAGGCACAGAGTTCATACACTTCGGAAATGGTCTCAGTCAGGGGAAGCCGGCAAGTCCCCAGCCAGTTCCTGCCCAGAGGAAAGCCTGTCATGAAAAGCCTCAGCACTGTGCCCCACAAGAATGTAGCCTATAAACTTTCCTTGCCTAGAATACATGCACCAACACTGGCTCAAACCTGGCACCGCTAGCATTATTTCCTTTGTTTAACTGGATATCTGGTGGTATCTTCAAAGAAAGTAAGCCTGGACACAACTTTTTAGAACCGAGCTTAACCTATTTCAGCAAATCCTGCTAAACTGACTAATTTCAAGTCTCCAGGTCCTCTCTCAGGTTCAGAAGTCAGGCCAGGGTCCAATCACTTGCTTCCTGCCCCCATAAGTATCTGCCTAAGGTGTCTCAGTCAAGGTGTAGCAGAGAAATTTCTAACACCCTGTGTGTCCATAAAAGAGGCTGACATCAACCTCCATTTCCCTTATCCTTACAAAGGCACTTGGTTTTTACCTTCTGTGACATTAGGAGTGGACATGTCTGGGACAGATGGTAAATGGTATGTATGGGCCAAAAGAGTTTCAACCCATAGGATTGGGGGTAAGACAGTGTTGTGAGTCAGCTGATGCTCTCCCCAGGCACTTAGGGAAACCCACTCCTAGCTTTAGTTTTGGTACTATGGATTTTGCCACCCTAACAGAGTTGCTCCACTGTTCCTAACTTCAGTTTGCCTTTCTAAAATGCAGGATTGGAATCCATGCCCCAGACTTACAGGGATATTCTGAGCTCATCCATCAAAGCAAGGGCCTTATATCACTACCACCTTGGGGAAATCTGCCCTGCCTTGCTTCTTAGAAGCTCACTCTAGGCTCAGGCCTCATAGTCTAGTGAGCCTCCCAAGGATAGAGAGAACCTTGCATAAGGGTATTATTGGGTGGGGTGCCCAACTACTCTGAAGGTACGACTGTGGCCAGATTACCTCAGACCAGCACAAGGAAATGAATGGTAGAGAAAACAAATATGAATAGCTTAAAGCCCTTGATCTCTGGGGACCCTTTTACCTTGTCTCCAGCCATCTCCTCAGAGGCTCTAACCCAGTAGTGGTTGTGGAGAGTGAAATGAAAGGTTTGACCCTGAGGACACACTCTCCCCCTGGTTTCTGGGGGAAGGCCTCAGGCTATTCACCAAAAGAAGGGCGAAACCCAACCTGATGGGATTGAGCAGCTCCCCAAAGAAGGCCTTACTTGACATGCTGGAAGAGAACTCCGTTCCCTGTGATATACAGTCTGCTTCCATCCAGCGTGCTCTCGATGCGGAGCTGTCCTAGCGCAGAGTCTGGGTACTTGACCAGCAGACCAAGGGCCATCATGTACAGTGGCTTCACAGACTCCAGACCGGCTGCACGCACCCCCTTTCCAGGGCTTGGGGGAGGACAGGAGGTCCGGGAACAGCCACCTGTGCGAGGGATAAAGGTGTGACTCCTAAATCCTTCTTCAGCATAGCTGAATTAGAGGCTATGGGTCTTAATTCCTCTAGCTGCCCCCAAGGAATACTTAAGTGGCTTAGAGGGAGGACATGTCCTTGCATAGACCAAATGTGGATTTTCTCAACTTTAGTATAATTTTTTGTACTCTCAGTCAGGTTTAGAGGTCAAAATTATTTGTTGGGGGGCTGGGTTTGTGGCTCAAGCGGTAGCGCGCTCGCCTGGCATGCGTGTGGCCCGGGTTCGATCCTCAGCACCACATACCAGCAAAGATGTTGTGTCCGCCGAGAACTAAAAATAAATATTAAAAATTCTCTCTCTCTCTCTCTCTCTC